CTCCTCCTCCTCCTCCTCCTCCTCCTCCCCCCCCTTCTCCTCCTCCTTCTTCTCTCTTTTTTTTAGATTTATTTTTACCATTTCCTGTTGTGTGTCTCTGTGTGTGGCATGTGTTTATAGCATTGAATGTTTATCTGTAGTCACACAACTATCACCACATTTACTTCTATTATATCCCTAGAACCTTGGGGGTCTAACAGAAGCTATTCTCTTTTTCCCCCATTCCTTTTTAATTTTGTGTAAACATTAATCTGTGTACAAATTTGCCTGCTTTGGACATTTTAATATTATGAGTGAATCCTAGGAAGCCAGATATAGGAGGCTATTAGAATAACCTGGGCCTGAGTGATGAAGGCCTAAATGATAGTAAGAAGACAAGGGATAAGATAGGAATAGAAGGTGTAACTATCAGAAAGGAATCTGAGGAAAGACACAATATAACTAGCTGTCAGTTGAGCATGGGAATGACAGCATCCAGAGCATAAAAGGAGCTTGGCTTGGTGATGGTCAGGGCACTCACCAAGGAGACAGCATCTGTACCATTAGAAAATGGACTGGCCTTGGAAAAATCATTCAGCATTCCTAGACTCCAGTTCTTATGTTTATAACATGAAGATTTAGATGTAATGACAGAATAAAGGAAGATAAACTTCAGAATTAGACAAGGTTTAATCCCAGTCCCTCGCCCAACCCTTGTATTGAATTGTTGGGAACTTAGGGCCTTGGTAAGTTGAGATGTGGAAGTTAATGGAGCCGAGTATGAAGCAATAGTAGAGTGCTGCACCCACCCGTCCCTCCCTATCCCCCCCCCCCATTATTGCCAAGAGCATTTGTTTTCAGGATAAGCCTGTTGCAGCATTAAGTCTGAAGTTACCTGAGATGACTCTCAGAAAACATTGGAAATGGGAATGCCATCATGAAGTTATTTACTACAGGTGATGTCTGGTTACATCTTTCACCTTACACAGTTACTGCATTTTTGGGTTTTGTTTGTTTGTTTTGCAGCTAAATGTAGCTAGAAAAAAAAAAAAAACCCTAAAAACCCTGCTGATTTACCTCATTTTAAATTCATGACCATGAACCTCAAATCTTTAATTCTGTCAGGCACTCATGCTGTCTTCCTGGCTTGCCCTTTCTTCTTTCTTAAAATTATTTTACACTTTGTTTTCTCTCTGAAAACTCCTCAACCTCCT